GTTTGACATGTCTGCTCTAAGGTTGCGTTCAAAAGTTTCTGATGCCGCCTGTGAGGCTTCAGATCAGGATGAACCAAAATTAGCACACCATCATCAACAAATTTAGTACGCAAAAGAATTTGAAGCCTGACAGCATCGCAACCAAAGAGAAAAAGTGAAACAGATGCCGACAGCCTTAAGTTAACCTCTTCCCCAACTTCAGATAATAAGAGATGTTGTCAAGGTGTCCAACATTTTCACACGCCAAAAAAAAAAAAAAGGCAACCTCTTAGATAAGAAGAGGTAGAAGATGCAAATGTTTATTGGAAGATTGTGGTGGCAAAACGGTAAAGGAAAAATAAGCACCCAGAGTTGAATAATTGTGATTTTAAAAACCCAAGGACAATAAGACAGTGGCTTACAGAGGGGGCTGGTGGACCATGAAAAGTAGATCCCACCTCCACACCTGTATACCTGATCCCTAATTTTATCCAATTCCTGTTAAGTTTAATGATGTCAAGCTTTTTAACATTTTATAGGTAGTCCTCGACTTACGACCACCACTGAGCCCAAAAGTTCTGTTGCTAAGCGGGACGGTTGTTAAGTGAGTTTTGCTCCATTTTACGACCTTTGAGGCATAGCCGTTAAGTGAGTCACTTCAGCTGTTGACGTTGTAAAGTGAAGCTTGCTTCCCCGTTATCTTTGTTTGCCAGAAGGTCGCAAAAGGGGATCACGTGACCGGGGACGCCACAACCGTCATAAATACGAGTCAGTTGCCAAGCAGCTGAATTTGGATCACATTGACCATGGAAAAGCTGCAATGCTCATAAAGTTGGTAACAGTCATAAATCACTTTTGTCAGTGCTGTTATAACTTCGAATGGTCACTAAACAAGATAAGATAACCTTTATTGTCATTTTCTTACTGTGGGCACAACGGCACACATCAAAAATGAAGTTGAGTTGCTCGCTCTTAAAGTGAAACACATACATGACACACTCCTAAACATACTATTGTACAACATATGTATAGACCCACACCTACATATACATAGCAAATAAATACTAAATAGCAAATAAATATTAAATACTAAATAAATATTAAATACTAACTACTATAGGTTAAGGACTACCTTTATATTCTTGTTTTTATTGTAATGTAAGCTGCACATTGTCACTTAAATAGAGATATAATAAGCAAATAAGCTTAATAAATAATGGCTTAATAGCAAATAACCTCAGTACCATGATATACTTGATTCTCAGTTGTAGCCAATCCCTAATTTTAATGTTTTTAATATGTTTAATGTTGTATAATCTTGTTTTTCTTCTTTTGATAGCAAGATGGGCATCATATCAATTTAATAAATATTGGATAAATAGTTGAATAACCTCTGTACCAGAGGTGTAACTTGATTCCCAATTGTATCCAATCCCGGTTCATTTTAATGTTTTTTATATTTTTAACATTGTGGTATTTTTGCTTTGCTTCTATGGCAACCTGTCCAGAGTTGCTTCGATAATGAAGTGAGCAGCAAATGAATTTAATAGGTGCAAAATAAGTAATAAATTCAAACCTCAGTGTCAGAATTGGGCCTTTCCATTGGGAAATTAACAGTGCTGTTTTTATAAAAACAGTCTTGGTGGAAGCAAAGGGAATAAACCTGCTCAAGAATATATGCTGTTTTGGAGGGGACAAGGGCACAATTGAAATATATTGTATATTGTTAGTTGTTATATGAGAAGAAATATAGGTAATAAAAATGGTCTTCAGGAGGGTGGGTGCACTATAGTATTTGTTATTTTTTACACTGTTTTTTATTTAGACTTATATGTATTATGTTTGTATTATTTGTATTTGAATAAAATTAAAATTAAAAAAAAAACAGTGATGAACTCCTTAGCTGACAACAGCAAAACAATCACCTCTCTTCAAGGTCTAACAGCAATTAAGTTCTCAACTTAAAATAGTTTATTTAGTGACCAATGCAGCCAACACAATGCTGGGCTGCATTAACAGAGAGATAGATTCAAGATTACGTGAAGTATTAATACCACTTTACAATGCCTTGGTAAGGCCACACTTGGAATACTGCATCCAGTTTTGGTCACCACGATGTAAAAAAGATGCTGAGACTCTGGAAAGAGTACAGAGAAGAGCAGCAAAAATGATTAGGGGACTGGAGGCTAAAACATTTGAGAAACGGTTGCAGGAATTGGGTATTTCTAGTTTAATGAAGAGAAGGACTAGGGGGGACATGATAGCAGTGTTCCAGTATCTCAGGGGCTGCCACAAAGAAGAGGGAGTCAAGCTATTCTCCAAAGCGCCTGAAGGCAGGACAAGAAGCAACGGATGGAAACTAATCAAGGAGAGAAGCAACCTAGAACTAAGGAGAAATTTCCTGACAGTTAAAACAATTAATCAGTGGAACAGCCTGCCTCCAGAAGCTGTGAATGCTCCAACACTGGAAGTTTTTAAGAAGAAACTGGACAGCCATTTGTCTGAAATGGTATAGGGTTACCTCCCTGAGCAGGGGGTTGGACTTGATGACCTCCAAGGTCCCTTCCAACTTCATCATCATCATCATCATCATCATTATTATTATTACCTTTCAAAGTTACAGTGGCATCAAAAAAGCGGCTTATGATTATTTTTCAACCATTGCAGCATCCCCAGGGTCACGTGATCAAAATTCAGACACTTGGCAATTGACTCATATTTACGACGGTTGCAGTATCCCAGGGTCACGTGATCCCCTTTCAGGCAAGCAAAATCCATGGGGAAGTCAGATTCACTGAACAACCGTGTTACCAACTTAACAACCGCAGCAATTCGCTTAACAATGGTGGCAAGAAAGGTCATAAAACAGGGCAAAACCTACTTCACAAATGTCTTACTTAGCAACGGAAATGTTCTTTTTGCGATTGTAGGTCGAGGTCTTCCTGTATTCCATGGGGGGGGGTCTACCATTTTTCCAAATCTCCCCCAAATCTCTGCCAAGACCTGGTCAATTCATACGAAGTTTATAAAAATAAATAAATATAGGCAGTCCTTGACTTACGACGGTTCACTTAGGGACCGAAGTTACAGCAGCACTGAAAAAAGCGCACTTGTGAACATTTTTCAGACTTATGACTGTTGGGCATCCTCATGTCACGTGATGCTGGACAACTGGCTCATATTTACGACGACTGCATGTGTCCCGGGGTCACGGGATCCCCTTTTGCGACCGTCCGACCCGCAAAGTCCACGGGGAAGCTGGATCCACTTAACAACCGTGTGACTATCTGATCAATGGCGCAGTGATTCACTTAACAACCGTGGTAAGAAAAGTGGTAAAATGGGGCAAATCTCATTTAACAAACGTCTCACTTAGCAACATAAATGTTTTGGCTCAGTTGTGGTCGTTAAGTCACCTGTGTTTACAACAGTTGCCGCATCCCGGGGTTGTGTGATGGCTCTTTGTGACCTTCCCAGCTGGCTTCCATCAAGCACAGTCAAGGGGGGAAGCTGGAGTCCCTTAACACCTGCAGTGAATCGTTTAACAAAGGTGGCAAAATGGTCCTAAAAGTGGGCCCGGCTCATTTAACAACTGCCTTGCTTAGCAACAGAAATTCTGGTCCCAATAATGATCATCCGTCGAGAACTATTTGTATGTTCCTAATTTAACGGACTGCAGCGATTCACTTAACAAACGTAGCAAGAGAAGTCATCAAACGGGACAAACCTTGCTTAAGAAATGTCTCACTTAGCAGCATAAATCCTGGGCTCCGTTGTGGCCATAAGTCGAGGACTCTCTCTGTGTGTGTGTGTGTGTGTGTGTGTGTGTGTGTGTGTGTGTGTGTGTGTGTATAGATAGATAGACAGAGAGACAGAACTACCTGTTTGTGTGTGTGTGTATAGACAGATTTAGCTAGATGGAGAGAGAGAGAGAGAGAGAGAGAGAGAGAGAGAACAATCTGTATGTGTGTGTGTAGACAGATAGATAGAACTACCTGTTTGTGTGTGTGTGTATACATAGATATAGATTTAGCTAGATGTATAGATAGATAGATAGATAGATAGATAGATAGATAGATAGATAGATAGATAGAACTACCTGTTTGTGTGTGTGTATATAGATACATATAGATTTAGCTAGATGTATAGATGTATAGATAGATAGATAGATAGATGATAGATAGATAGATAGATAGATAGATAGATAGATAGATAGATAGATAGATAGATAGATATAGAGGGAGGGAGGGAGAGAGAGAGAGACAGAGAGAGAACTACCTGTTTGTGTGTGTGTGTATACGTATAGATTTAGCTAGATGTATAGATAGAGAAAACTACCTGTATGTGTGTGTGTATAGATACATATAGATTTAGATAGATAGATAGATAGATAGATAGATAGATAGATAGATAGATAGATAGATAGATAGATAGATAGATAGATAGATAGATAGATACGGAGGGAGGGAGGGGGAGAGAGAGAGAGAGACAGAGAGAGAACTACCTGTATGTGTGTGTATGTATGTATTTGTGCGTGTGGGGGGGGTATTTTGTACTCATAAGTCGAGGACTACCTGTACTTAAAGGTCGTACAGCAACTATTCGATATTGCGCGCGCGCACACACACACACACACGCACACACACACACGGTACATTTCTCCAAAGGCTATAAAAAAAAACCCGATAAGCCAAGCCATTAGATCCCCAAGACAGGTGACCCGCTGAAGGTGAAGGGCGGCCAGGGGTTTCACGGGGAAGACGCGACACGCAGGTTTCATCCGGGAAAAGCTTCCTCCTCCTCCTCCTTGCAAAAGACCAGCCATTCCCACGTTCGCGGCTCCCGCGGGAACGAAGCGGGCCGCGGAAAGAAGGAAAAGACCCGGGGGGGGGAACCTCACGAGGCCCGCCCGTCGGAGCGCGGTCCAAACAGCCCCCGGGTAAGGGCGAGCTCCCTAACCCATGGGGGGGCGCATTCCGACGTTCCCTCCCGGCGGCCGCCGCCCCGAGTCGCGTGTTTACCTGACGCGCCTCTCTCGCCTTCTCCCGGGAGGCTCCGAGCAGGACGCAGACCTCCAGGACGGCCGTGGGCAGCAGCAGCAGCTCGTCCATGGCCCGAGCCAGCCGCCGAGGAACACCGCTCCGCCCCGCCGGCTCTCAGGCCGGTCTCTGGAGGGGAAACGCCGCGCCACGGTCTCCCCCTGAGGGAAGGGAGGAGGGGCCGGGAGCGGGGGAGGCGTGTCTACGCTCGCGGGCGGGGCGGGGCGCCGGGGCGTCGAGGGCGTGGCCAAAGGAGAAACAGGCGACAATTGCGACCTTCGCCGCGTAGAGTCACGATCCGGCGAAGGATCGGTGCCGCTTTATAAAACTCCCAGTGAGGCCACACCTGGAATACAGCGGCCAGTTTTGGTCACCCTAGGACAAAAAACATGTTAAGAGTTTGGAAAAAATTCAGAGAGCAAATCAAGGAGAGAAGCAACCTAGAACTAAGGAGAAACATTATTATTATTATTATTATTATTATTATTATTATTATTATTTATTAACCTTGAGCTATTTATAAAACTAATAAAGGAAGCATAAACATCTAGTAATTAATAATAATAATAATAATAATAATAATAATAATAATAATAATAATAATAATAATTCAAACAGACAAGCACCTGCAACATAACACCCCAGACTTAACAATTGTCCATAAGAAAGACAAAAAAGTCTGGATAGTGGACGTGGCAGTGCCTGGAGATAGCAGAATAGAAGAGAAAGAACTGGAGAAGATAACAAAATACAAAGACCTACAAATAGAAATAGAAAGACTGTGGCAAAAGCAAGCAAGGGTAGTACCAATAGTCATAGGCTCCTTGGGTGCAATCCCAAAACAACTGGAGCACCACTTGAACACCATTGGCATTGACAAATTCACTATTAGTCAATTGCAAAAGGCGGCCTTACTAGGAGCTGCTTCCATCCTGCGACGATATCTGTAATACCATCAACCATCCACATCTGCCTATCCCAGGTCCTGGGTAAGGACTCGATAGGTAGACAAAATGCCAAATCCAGTCTGAACATCTGGCTGACTGCGATGATCCAAAATAATAATAATAATAGTAAAGTTGAAAGGGACCTTGGAGGTCATCTAGTCCAACCCCCTGCTTACACAGGAACCCTATACCATTTCAAAAAAATGGCTGTCCAGTCTCTTCTTGGAAACTTCCAAAATAAATATTGTCCAATGTTGCAGAATTCTGGGAGTTAATGTTTACACACCTTGAATTTGTTGGGATTTGAGATTTGATGACTTAAAAGTCTACATATCTTAAATTGTTGAGAAATATGGGATAAATCCTCCTTTCAGCTTTCTGGGGTGTGGAATAATGTGTACACGTCTGGATTATATCAGCTTAGCAGAGGCTGCATAAATCCTTCAAGCGTTCATTTCTGCAATAAACCAGAGGAAAAAATGCCATCTCATAAACAATTACTTCCCTATTGTTTCTGTTCCATAGCTGATTCCTTCTTTCCCCTGGGTTTAGAGAAACTGTCCTTTCTGGATACTTCAGAGTTTTATACCCTGGGAAAAACCCATCTTTATTTCACCCCAAACTGGGAAGGGAAGAACAGACCCACAAACACAGCAACGAAGCTCTCTTCCTTGTGGCTAAGAAAAAAATATAGCTGCTTCTTTCTACAAGCTTAAAAACAGAAACTCTACCTGCATAAAACCCGTTGCTCAAACTGCCAGTGGCTCGCCTAACAGAGGTGTGGTGCTGACAGGTGGAACTATAATTATGTACAGGATTAAGGACTACTTTGCAAAGTAAACAGACTCAGTTACAGCAGGAAAGTGTGCAGTATCGGGAGATCTGAAAGATGGGTACAGATCAACATCATGTTCCAATATTTGAGGGGCTGCCGCAAAGAAGAAGGAGGGTCAACCTATTTTCCAAAGCGCCTGAAGGCAAGACAAGAAACAATAGATGGAAACTCATCAAGGAAAGAAGCAACCAGGAAATGAAAGTTCCTGACAGTGAGAACAATTAACTATTGGACCAGCTTGCCACCAGAAGTTGTGGGTGCTCCGTCACTGGAGGTTTTTAAAGGAGAGGCTAAATAGTCACTTGTCTGGAATAGAATAAGGTCTCCTGCTTGAGCAGGGGGCTGGACTAGAAGGCCTCCAAGGTCCCTTCCAGCTCTATTCTGATTGATTGAGGGGGATCACAGGAAACAGACCTTCCCATTTCCTTGGATTTAAGGAATGGTTTTATCTTCTTTTGTTTCTATAATGCTTTCCAAATATTTGTTCAATTCTATCGCTATCAAATGACTACATGACACTGCAGGCATTGTAAATGTCAGTCAGTTGCCAAGTGTCCAGATTGTGATCATGTAACCGCAGGAGTTCTGGGACAGCCAGAACTTTGAGGACCAGTCATAAGGACCACTCATTCAGCGCCGTCATAACGTGGAACAGCCGCTGAAGGAGTAGTTGTTAAATGAGGTTTCCTTGTTAACCGTAAGACCCGGAGAAGAAACCATCTAATATTATAAAACTGGAAGTCATTTTGTCAGAAGGTGTGGGTGCTTCATTACTGGAGGTTTTCGAGAAGAGACTGGACAGCCACTTAATTAGAATGGTCTAGGGCAGAGGTCTTCAAACTTGGCCCTTTTATGACTGGTGGACTTCAACTCCCAGAATTCCTGAGCCAGCCACGCTGAGGGGAAAGGGAGAGGTTTCCAAGCTGAGCCGTGCTGGCTCAGGAATTCTGGGAGTTGAAGTCCACGAGTTATAAAGCGGCCTAGGCCTAGGCCAGAGATAGGCAACCTCGGCTCTTTTATGACTCGTGGACTTCAACTCCCAGAATTCCTAAGCCAGCATGAGGGAAACTTTGGCTCCTTCATGACTCATGGACTTCAACTCCCAGAATTCCTGAGCCAGCCACGCTGAGGAGAAAGGGAGAGGTTTCCAAGCTGAGGCGTACTGGCTCAGGAGTTCTGGGAGTTGAAGTCCATGAGTCATCAAAGGGCCAAGTTTGAAGACCCCTGGTATAGGGTCGCTTACCTGAGCAGGGGGCTGGACTAGAAGACCTCCAAGGTCCCTTCAAACTCCTGTTATTCTGTTAAACCTTGAACCTTCATGGAGAAAATCTATGGGGTCACTAGGAGTCGAGAACAATTTGATGCCACATATTCAATGCCCTAGAGCAGAGTTCCCCAACCTTTCCTGGGGGGGGGATAGTTTTGTGGGAGGGGCAGGCATGTGTGCAATCACCCATTGAGGCTGTATGTGCACGTGTTCCTTGAGCAATTGAAGCCCTGAGTGCCCATGACACGCGTGTGAGCCTGCGAGTGTGAAGCCGAGAGTGCCTGCAATGCTTGTGCAAGTGGGGCTGCAAGCCCCTGGGATTGGGGACAGTGTGCACGCGCACACTCGCACACCAGCCGGCCACTTTTGGCCGGCTTGGGAAAAATCCACGGAATGGTAGTGGACCCTGGCCCACAAGTGGAGGACTCCTGCCCTAGAGTGAACAATAGGTTTGCTTAACAGCGAGTGATTCATTTAACAACAGAGCTGATTCGCTTAATGACCCCTGCAAAAAAGGTCAAAAAATGGGGTCTGGGACATGGGGGACGTGCTTTAGGACAGAGGTCTCCAAACTTTTGGGCACCACCAGGGACCAGTTCCGTGGAGAGAGGTTTTTCCGCACACCAGAGTGTGTGGTTTTGTTTGCTGCCCGCATCCCACGGATGGGGCTTTGCTTGTTTGTACGGAGCGGTTTCTGGCATGCCGTGGCCCATTACTGGTCCACAGACCGGAAGTTGGGACTCCTGCTTTAGGACCATCATGGGCAGGCTCCATTACGTTTGCACGTCAAGGACTATCTGAATGCAGAAAGCAGCATCCTGTGGCTGCAATAGAAGCTGTCTCCCTTTTGTAAAGATCACCTTGACTTGTTAGCGACAGCCGTTAATTTAATGAAGTCTAATGAAGAGAAGGATGAGGGGGGACATGATCGCAGTCTTCCAGTATCCAGGTGCTGTCCCAAAGAAGAGGGAGTCAAGCTATTCTCCAGAGCGCCTGAAGGCAGGAGATGAAGCAACGGATGGAAACTAACCAAGGAGAGAAGCAACCTAGAAATCAAATTTGCAGACGACACCAAGCTGGCAGGAATAGCCAACACTCCAGAAGATAGGCTTAGCATACAAGAGGATCTGGACAGACTTGAACACTGGGCGCTATCTAACAAAATGAAATTCAGTGGTGAAAAAAGCAAGGTTCTACATTTAGGCAAGAAAAACCAAATGCACAGGTATAGTATAGGGGGTACTGTAGTAGTAGTAACTGTGAAAGGGACCTCGGAGTACAATTACCTAACTATGCCAAAAAGCTGCCAAAAAGGCCAACGCAGTGCTAGGCTGCATTAACAGAGGGATAGAATCAAGATCACGTGAAGTGTTAATACAGCTTTACAATGCCTTGGTAAGGGCACACTTGGAATACTGCATCCAGTTTTGGTCACCACGATGTAAAAAAGATGTTGAGACTCTAGAAAGAGTGCAGAGAAAAGCAACAAAGATGATTAGGGGACTGGAAGCTAAAGCATATAAGGAGCAGTTGCTTGAATTGGGTATGTCTAGTTTAACGAAGAGAAGGACGAGGGGGGACATGATAGCAGTGTTCCAATATCTCAGGGGCTGCCCCAAAGAAGAGGGAGTCAAGCTGTTTTCCAAGGCGCCTGAAGGCAGGACAAGAAGCAACGGATGGAAACTAATCAAGAAGAGAAGCAACCTAGAACTAAGGAGAAACTTCGTGACAGTTAGAACAATTAACCAGTGGAACAACCTGCCTCCAGAAGCAATGAATGCTTCAACACTGGAGGTTTTTAAGAAGAGACTGGACAGCCATTTGTCTGAAATGATATGGGGTTTCCTGCCTGAGCAGGGGGTTGGACTAGATGACCTCCAAGGTCCCTTCCAACTTCACTATTATTATTATTATTATTATTGCATACTGAATATTATGTAAACGGAAAGAGAAAACACCTCCCAGAAACCATGAATAAAATGAGTCATTGCAGATAACAAAACACGGTTGGTTCCAAGTACCAAGGTGCAAAACATGAGCGGAGTAACTAGAAAAGTCCAAGGGCCCTCGGAGAAAGCCCAAGTATCATCACATTATATATCATTCACACACAGTTTTGTACACTTGAAATAACTAACACGCA